AGTGTGTGCCCTGGTCATTCATGTTTGCTTGTGCTTGTGTTACTCATACTGCAAAAGAGTAATGGCTCTTCGATACATGAATTCTTGGCACGAGTCATGTTAGGCCGCTTGTTCATTTCAGGAGGAGGATATTGCTAGGGGCCGTCGAATTGGTTCCGACCCATAGCAACCCTGTGCACAACGGAATGAAGCACTGCTCGGTCCCGGGCCAGCCTCACCATTCATTGCTCCTGTGCTTGAGCCCCCGTGGCAGCCACTGTGGCAGCCCATCTCCTTGAGGGCCTGCCTCTCTTTCACCGCCCTTCCTCCTTACCAAGCATGACGTCTTTCTCTAGGGACCGGTCTCTCCTGACACCACGCTCAACATGTATCAGATGAAGTCTTGCCATCCTTGTCGCTAAGGAGCCCACTGGCCGGACTTACTCCAGAACAGATCCGTTTGTCCTTTCAGCAGCCCGTGCCACTTCCAATATTCTCCACCAGCACCCTCAGTCAGCCTCATCGATTCTTCCATAATCTTCCTCATTCAGTTTCCAGCACTTGCCTGTCAGTTTGCTGTACTGTGGTGGCTTGTGTGTTGCTGTGATGCTGGAAGCTGTGTCACTAGTATTTCCAATGGCAGCAGGGTCCCCCAAGTGAACAGGTTTCAGCGGAGCTTCCAGACTAAGAACAGGTCACAAAGGAGTCAGCTGCCCACTTTGGAGGAAGTCGCTGCAGGAAACCATACATAGCTCTGGGAGGCTACTGCTCGTAAATCAACCCGTGAACCCACAGGTGTGGAATCAGTTCTAGAGTCACAGTGACCTGATACGACAGAGTAGGACTGCTCCATAGGGTTTCTGCGGCTGTAACTACAAGAGCAGGCAACCTTATCTTTCTCCCAAGGAGAAGCTGGTGGGTTAGAACCACCAACCTTGCAGTTAGTGGCCCAGTACTTAACCGGCTGTGTCACCAGGGGTCCTTTTTGTTAAATTTAGATGATGTGTTTTGAATTAGTCTAATCATTTCCCCAGTATGATTCCAGTTACGAAACCAGAGTATAAACTGCGGAGGGAGGGGTTTCTATGTTGCTCACTATGATAACCTCAGCAGCTGCAACATGGACCACCTGGCACATCATTTGTTTTGAAATAAATGAATCAGGTCAGACTGGGGACCCCTGAAGTCAGGATTGTCTCCTCCATCAGGCCGGGCATTAAGGTTTTAAGGTTAGGTTGGTAGTTCAAACCCACCCAGGGCTACACAGGGGCAGGATCTGGTGCTCAGCCTCTGTAAGATGACAGGCAGGGAAACCAGGGTGGTAGCTACAAGTTGAATATCGGCCCAGTGACCCCAGCAGCAAGAGCAGAGTCGGTCTAGAGTCCCTGTGGTGCAGAGGGTACTACACGCGCTGCTAACCCCGAGGCTGGAGGTTTGAGCCCAACCACAGCTGCTTCAGAAGAAAGGCCTGGAGATCAGTTTTCAAAGAAATAACGCAGTAAAACCTAGGAGCATGCATGGGGTCCCTGTGAACTCCATTCAACTCCAGGGCATGTGGTGGTTAGCGTGGCCCTGAGAGTCCCTGGGTGGTGCCCATGCTGGGCTGTGTTTAACGGACCTCCCTGTTCCCTCACTCAGCTGCTTACCAAAAAGATGGAGGTCCAGGTTCACCAGGGATGACAAGGAAGAAAGGCCTGGTGAGCTATCAGTCAGGACCTGACCGATTTTAGATCAAGCCCTTCTTTAAAGAAAAGCCTTCAGCTTGCCACCTGCTGATGTGCAATCTTGGTAGAACATTTGTTGAGTCAGCTGGTGGGATGGGCTTGGCAGTGTGCCCTTTTACCCTGGCTGAACCCTGTGATCGCTTCCGTGTTAGTTATCAATCGCTGCAAAACAAACTACCCCCATGTAAAAGCTTAGATGATACCCCATCATGGGCACAGTTTCTGTTCACGAGGAGCCCAGGCGCACCTGGGTCCTCTGCTCAGGGCTTCGCAGCAGAGATCAAGGTGCTGGCCAAGGTCATGGTCCCCTTTCCTTCGTTCTAGTTTTGAAAGGGTGCATAAAGACCATTCAATCATTTCTGCACCACACCCAAACTCAGACTCATTGCCGTTCACGTAATTCGGACTCCCAGCAGCCCTGAAGGGCAGAGAAGCGCTGCCCCCTGCAAGCCTCCTGTTGGTGAGTGGGAGCAGCCCACCTTGACCTTGCCATTAGCAGCCCGGCGTGTAACCACTGGGCCGCCAGGGCTCCTGAGTTCAATGTCATCCTTGGCGAATTAGAAATAGGAGGGAATGTTGGGAGTCTGAAAAAGGCCCCCCTGAAATAACCCAGAGCAAACATCAGTTGTACTTATATCCCAGCAACAAACTATTAGAAACTAAAGATTTTAAATATGCAGTTTATAACAGCATAAGCCCGCAAATGCCCGAAAACAGACAAGACATATAATAATTCTATTCATAATAGCAAATTGCTTCTCAACCTTTTGGCGAAGATCAAGTGTACACATACCTGTTTTTTGCAGTTCACTCTGTCACATTTCTCAAATATTGCAAATTTTTACTTGCACCAGTTGAAGTTGTGTGCTCACTCCATGTCTTGCGTCACGTTTCAGTAATTCTCGCAGTATTTCAGACTTCTTCACAAATGCTGTTGTACACGTCACGAAATAAAACATTACTGCTCGTGAACTGGAAGACGCGATCCTGAGAAGATATCAGCCGCTTTCTAAATCCATCAGTCTCCAAAACTCTCACTCTATCTCGTTGATTCCAACGCATAACAGCCGTATGGAAAAAACCGAAGCAACTTCACTGCCATCGAGTCCATTTCGACGCATGCCTCCCTGTAGCGACAGACTTTCTGCTTGCGTAGAGTTAGTCTCGGCAGCCTACTGGTGCAGTCCTGCCCTGCTTTCGGGTCACTGTGGGTGACCTGTAGACTTCATCAAATGCTAATCAAAAGCTCAGAAAGCCTGTGTTGTGTGTGTGTCCCTGACCTGAGCTCAGTGTGTCAGTCCCCTGGAAAAGCCCAGTGTACCTAAGACACCTCTGCAGGACAAACAAGGGTTGTCCTACCAGCTGTCTCCCAGGAGAAGACAGCGAGTAAGAAGAGGGACTCTTCAAGCCGTACACATTTCAGAAGTAGGTAAAAGTAGAAAAGCACTCAGTAGGAAAATTCCTAAGTGTAAATTTAATATTTTGAGGAGAGGTTAGTCTCAGACTCTGAAATATGTATTATATTCAAGCAGGTGCTTATGAAATACTTTGAATTTAGAGTTTAAAAAAAAATCTGTTACACCTCTTACTGTAACATGCTACAGGCATTCTTTCTACAAGTATGAAATAAGATGGTCATTCTAGAATTACTGGGTTAAGCATTGATATAAAGTTTATTGTGCCAACCTGGCCGATAAACACATGGGGTTAATTGAAGGGCGGAGAGATAAATGGCTTGGTGAGCCTCGCCTTTCTAGTTCTCCGGTCTCTTGCTTGGTGATGGTCGGACCAGGGTGCAGCTGCCTTAACTGTTCCCTACTTCAGCTGGCAAGGCTCACTTCCTGCAGGACATCCCCGAGGCGAAGCTGCCTGGACCTATTCTGGGTGCTGGAGCCCTGGGTGCTGGAGCAGCCATGTGGAGACCCCTGCCAGCACTGAGATGCTTACACATTCACTGACTTGGCTTTCCTCTAACAGAAGGCATCGTTGGGTGTGTTTTGTGAGAGGGAGGAGGACTTTGTGGATTGGTGTTGGACATATGGGTTAATGGGTTAATGTTGGACTTATGGGCTTGGGCAGCACTGGGTTGGGATGTTTTCTTGATGTGCACTTACCCTTTATATGAAATTCTCTCTTATACATATGCATTTCTGTGGATTTGTTTCTCTAAAGTACTCAGACTAACACAAGCATCTTTACGATGAAAGTAGTAGAATAATAATTATAAGGTGGTTCCAAAACATTTGTAGAAAGTTTTATTAATTTTTAGTTTTGTTTTTTCATGAATTTTTTGAAGTGCTGTTGTTTAATATTAAGTTCCTATAAGAGAATATAGAAATTGTGGACTGTCTTGATGGGAAATTTGGGCAACCCAGTGAGAAAATTGTTTAAACCAACAGTGTGGATGACAGGCAGGTTATTTCCAGTTAACTCTATGGGAGACCTGGAGGCGCAACTAGTAAGCGGGCCCTGTTTGTTGGCTGTCAGCCAGGGACCACCTTCGCTCCCACAGGCCACTCATAGTCCTGGTCAGCTAACCCTCAGACTCATGGGCTTGGGCAGCTAACCCTGGTCAGCTAACCCTCAGACTTATGGGCTGACTCCTGGTAACCCTATAGGACAGGGGGAAACTGTCCCCAGGGCTTTCCAAGACTAACTCTTTATGAGAGTGGAAAGCCTTGTCTTTATCCTGCAGCTCAATCGGCTGGTGATTTGAAACTGCTGACCTTGCACTTACCAACCCAGCAAGTAACCACTAAGGCCCACATGGTCCCCTGTATTTTGTCAAGATTAGCAGGAGAACCTTCTGCTCTAGTCTGCCAAGACCGGGTATAGCATTGCGTCATCGTGGGAATGATTGTCTTTGTCATATTCCATGGGCTATAATCAAGTCATAGGTTCTACCTGTTCTCAAGGGGGCAGGACAGTATAAGAGCGGGTGCTTCATTATAGGGGAGAGGGGTCCTTAGGATATGCCTACACAACTCCTTGAAACAGCCCTGGCAACAATCCTACCACATACGTAGCTGCGATCTCCGCCTCATGCCAATAACCCGGTCCGTGGGTGGTCCTTTTTCTGCGGGTGGCCATTTGTTTCATGACAAAATAGATAAGGTTGTCAAATATGAAGCATCTTTCCCAGTGAGCAGAATTAAGAAATCTTCCCTAGGGTACCCACCAAGGACTCCCCAACATGTTGGCTGTAGTACTGCGGTGATTACTGATAGTAGCTCAGTGGTATGTGATGCGATGCTAATTCTGTTCCTGTGCTCTTGTCCAATCCCTCCGACTCTCTAGTGCAGGGATCACAGCCATGGACCCCACCCGCCCGGATTTGGTCGGCACTGCACCTGTGCTCCTGAGCACAAAGAGCTGGCAAAGGCGAAAGAAATCCTTCCTCTCATAGAGGACTCTAGTAACTGTGACATTGTGAAGGCTACTCAGTAAGTTTTCCAGGTGTTTTTCCTGTGCTTACATTCCACTGGATCGTAACCATGTGCGTGCAGTTGATGGTGCCCCATGGGCTTCACGGCCTCCCTCTTTGCTGCGTGCTCAGGAAGCAGCGTGTTATAGTCGCCCGGAGCACTTCCAACAGTGCTGGGCCCTAGTGGTTTATGGGCGATTAGAGTGTGAGCAACTTCTTCCCGCAAGTCTGCCGCTTCCCGCTCTGTGGGTCTGTTGGCCGGTGCTTCCATACAGTTTCTGTCGGGGGTACAGGGGGGCAGGCGGGTGGAGCGGACTTCAAACAGTTCGTGGAAAGATGAAATTTTCGTCCAAGAACTTTTTTGAAGCCCCTGTACAGCGAAAGCTGTGAGGGCCCGAATTCATTGGCCCCACCTTCGGAGAGTTCCAGCCTTGCCACTTTCCTGCCCTGTGAGTTTCCCCTCTGATGGGCCTGTGCCTTCCACAAGTTCCCGCCTGTGAGCGCTCTGCTACATTAGGTGCCTGGTAAATGCTTCTTAAGGGAGGGAGTGATTAAAAATGGCTCTAAAGTTAATTTGCGAGTTTGAAACTCTTAAAATGTACCCTAACCAAAATGCTCTTGGAAAACGCCGGTGCATCTGTGGGTAATTTTTAACAAGTGTGTGGTCATGGAGGCCTTTCTGTGGCTTTATGCTGGGGCCGTGGGGGCAGGGCACCCAAGTCAGGGGGCGTGGGGGGTGGTTTTCTTCACTGAACCTAGAAGTCGTTTGACAGCTTTCCCTGACCGAGATTGCCACCCGTGAGTCTCCACACAAAGTCAGTTATTTCCAGCTTTCCCACCATCACCTGCCGCGCTGGCTGTTCATGTCCACCCGCCCTCAAATAAGAGGCCCCCTGAATTAGTCATGTCTGTCTTACTTTCAGTTAATAAGATCCAAATCTGCCCCTCAATGCTTCCAATCAGGAAGAAAGTTACTACAGGAACTTGATAAACATTTCTATCAAAAGCAACGCTATTTGGTGGTTAATTAGCTTATTTGGCTTTAACATGTATGATTTAGGTTCGTTATTAAAAAATAATGATAATTTGAGGATTCTAATTCCTATGAGCTCTAGAAAGCCAGGCTGCTTTAGAGGAATATGATTTTACATTGCTTATATTTTTAATTTCTTTGAGGGTTAACAGATTCTTAGGAAGATACTTGCTTTAATACACATGTAACTGTTTCTGTTACCAGTAAAACTTTGTTAGCGTAAGTGTGAGAAATGGGGCCGTATTTAAGGGGAAGTCTCAGTATAAACTTAAATATTCCATCTGTCTTAAGGCTTGCTTCAGGTCTTGAACCTTCTCAAGTGTCTGGGAGGAGGTCTTGAGTTATATTTGGGCAAAAAAGAACTAGGATGTGGGGTGTGTGTGTGTGTGTCCAAAGGGAACATTTATTTTCCAGTCAAATGTTGAAGTTGACATTTAAAAACAAAGAGCTTTTGACTCTGCCCCCTTGTTAGCCCTTCTCACTCATTAAGGTGTCCGTTTGCCATTGTCAAGCACGTGTCTCTGCCGTGCAGAAGTCGCTAGCCCCCGCATGGGCACCCACGCTGCCTCCTGTCCAGGCAGAGATGAATCTAACAGTCTGAGAAAGGGAGATGACCTTACCATTTGGTGTCCCCTTGACTCTAAAGGCCTATGGAAACTCGCAGATCTCTCTGCATAGAAATAAGGGTCAGAGAAAGTGACCCTTATTGGACAGACCCTAAATGGTCTGTCGGGGCTGAATGGTTTCTGTTGGGAAAATAATGTGAATTGAGGTACTAAATTCAACATAATAATGATTATGATAGCATTGAAGAGTCGTGCTCATCCTGCTCAGTCAGATAGTTGCTCAGTAGCAACAACTGTACCACTAAACTCTCTCCCCAAACCATCCCCCGATCTAGTCCTGCTCTGCTTTCTGACCGAGGGCTCCCTGCCTCTGCCTGTGTCCCGTGTGGCAGCCCCTAAGCTGGTGTCTCTCCTACCTCATCCTTTCCCAGTCGTCTTCTCTACTGCAGTAATACCGCCTTCCTTAAAACTCAAATTTTGAATACTTTCCTGTTTAAAAAAGGCCTTGGCGGTTTCCATCAAGTTCTAAAGTCTACATTTCATGACATGACGGGAAAGCTCTGGCGGTTCTGCGCTCGCACCTTGCCATCCTGTGTCTTAACGGCGTGCTTCCGCCATGCTGCCTCGCTTGTGTTTCTCTGACTAGCCATGCAGTTCCGTGTGTTCCTCCCACTGGTCCAGACAGCCCAGCTCATGGGTCTGCTGTTCTAGCCCGAGGGCCTGATCATGCTGCCTCTGCTCTGTCTTGGTACTTAGGTGTTCAACTTCACCCAGGCCGCATTTGCTTTTAGAAGCCCTGGTGGTGGAGTGTATTATGCACGGGGCCACGAAGCATAATGCTAGCAGTTCGAAACCACTAGCCAGTCTGAGAGAGAAAGATGAGGCTTTCTACTACCAAAAAGAGTTACAGTGTAGGAAACCAAAAAGGGCAGTTCTGCCCAATCCCGTAGGGTCTCTAGAGTCGGACATGAGGACAGTGATTGTTGTTGTTGTTGTTTCCCCTTTATTGTGAGGTCTGAGCTTGGTTTATTCAGGGATGAGATTGTATTCAGGAGTCGGCCTCATGCATTCCTGGCAGAGTAGGGCATCCCATGAACCTTTTCGAAGGAGAGCAATGTGAGTGTTACAGTCAGTGTATTTAACAAACCAGAGTTCACCCCAAATGGATGAATCTGACCAGTACATGACCCACGTTTACTTGTGTTGGGACTTAATGTGCCCTTATTGTATTTCTGTTGGTGAAAGAAAAGTTAGGTTACACAAAGACTTGATAAGATGAAGAAATGTTGATATTTGAAATGCTTTTAACTGGTGTTAATACATTTTGTTATGGTAATGTGAGAAATTTTGTTAATAATAACTGGTGTTAACAATGCCATTTTTACCCTCTTCTCATTTAAGATATGGGATTTTTGAACGATGCAAAGAGTTGGTAGACGCCGGTTACGATGTCAGGCAACCAGACAAAGAAAATGTGTCGCTTCTTCATTGGGCTGCCATTAACAACAGACTGGATCTTGTAAAGTAAGATGCAGTGTATGTGTGTTAAAGATATAAAGTGTGTTGTAGGCATACCTCGGAGCTGTGGCACATTGGTTCCTGACCAATCAGTAAAGCAAGTGTCATAAAAAAGTGAGTCAGAAGAGTGTGTTGCTGTGTTTTCACTAGACCGCTTGGTGATGCTGTCAGGTAAGCATTGGACTGCTAACTACCAGATTGGCGGTTCAAGCCCACCAGCCTCTCTTTGGGAGACAGATGAGGCCGCCTGCGCCTGTAAAGATTTACAAAGCCTTGGAAACCCTGTCTAGGGCTGCCATGAGTCAGAAACAACTTGAAGGCAGTTGGTTTGCCTGGGCTTGGGGTTTGGGAATTTATTAAGTGTGTAGTAGTATTATGAACACCTTTGAACTATTGTGAGAATCATTAAATGTTTCAGAGAAACAGAGTGATGACAGGTTGTTGAGGAAATGGCGCCAATCGACTTGCTCCATGCAGCGTGGGCACCAACCTTCCGTTTGTCGTTGTTGTTTTATTGCAGTCTCTGCAGAGCGCAATAAGACGAGACACGGGTGTATTTCTAAGCCCGGACCTCTCTGGCACTTCTCTTTCTGTTGGGGTGCAAATATGAGTCAGGAGCCAACCACGGGTCTCTCTCGTAAGTGAGCAGGAGCTGGCTGCCACACGCACCTGTGAGCATCCTGTAGTGCCAGAGAGCCGTGCTCTAGGAGTAAAACTGAGCAGTTTTGAAAAAGGAAACAGAAAATTCTCAGAGTGGAACAGAGCGTTTCCCCGAGGGTCGGAGAAGCACTGGAGTATTTGACCTTCTCGTACCAGGAAGACTAGATGGGCAAGCACCTCACTTTCTCCTTTTCAAGTACACTAAGTAGAGCATACACTTTTCAGTAGACATGGGTTTTTGTTTTCTTAATCCTTTTATTAGGGGCTCATACAACTCTTATCACAATCCATACACACATCAATTGTGTAAAGCGCATGTGTACATTCATTGCCCTCATCATTCTCAAACAGTTCCTCTCCACTTAAGCCCCCAGCATTAGGTCCTCATTTTTCCCCTCCCTCCCCGCTCCCCCCTCCCTTATGAGCCCTTGATAATTTATAAATTATTATTTTGTCATATCTTTAGACAGGGGTTTTATGAACTATTTCATTTTCATAATGTAATACTTCCTGTTCATCGGTAGCTTTAGTTTCTTCATTTAATATATGTATGCAAATGTGTAGATATTTTATGCATATGTAAAATCCATGCAATTTGAAGAAATGGAAATATACCAAATTTAAAATTCTTTTAAATTGAAAAGGCACATTACACTCACAGGCGAACTCCTTGTGGAACTAAGTGGATGCACTGCTGAAGTGATGGGGGATAGGAAGGCACCGCTTTGAAATAAGGAGGCTAGTCCCTGTCGACCACGAAGACAGCAGGCTCTTTCCCTGATCGCTTCACACTAACCTTTGTAAATGGTGCATCACACCAGTGCTGTAAAAGTAGGGACCAAAATATTCAAATTGATGATCTTTTCTGGAAAGATTGTGTTTTTGCTTCTTTTGGAACTCATTCACACGCAATGATTCCAATTTTCCTCCTGCCAAATGACATAGTTTCAGGCCTCTTCTCCCAAGTTAAGCTGTAGAATATTTGTAATATGAAACCATTTCAAAATAAAGTCTGTCCTGAGTGTGTGGTAGTTAGAAAACAGAGTGGTTGTTGTGTGTTTGGTGTGCCCGTTCTAATTGAATACTAATTATAGCAGGAGTAATGAGTTACATGCTAAGAATATGTTATCAGGAACTGGTTTGATACTGCCCTGTGGATCTCTCTGACTCGATCAGGAAGTACTAGGGTGTTTTAGAAATGTCAGAACTATAATTTCTGTTTCCCAACACCCAAATTATTAAGAAAACAGTTTTTCTTTCTCAATGTGAATTCATTCATTTGAAATCTTACTGTAACTTGTGTCTGCTTTGAACAGGTTTTATATTTCAAAAGGGGCTGTTGTAGACCAGTTGGGAGGAGATTTGAATTCAACTCCTCTTCACTGGGCCATCAGGTAAGTTTTCTTCAAAGTCGGGAATCGCTGTTTGAAATCAAGGTCATTTTTTGAATGTCATAAACCATTGTTTGCCAATAGAGTCATCTACACTGGGACAGGTGCCTATTCTTCATTGTCCAATACAGCAGTCTTAAGCCACTCATAAAGTATGGTGAGTCCCTGTATTAATCTAGGTACTTTGGAGAAACAAATCCACGGCGACTCACGTATAAGAGAGAGTTTTATGTAAAGAAAAGGTACATCACGAAAACATCCCAACCCAATGCTGCCCAAGCCCACAAGTCCAACATTAACCCAT